CCCCCCCCCCCCCCCCCCCCCCCCCCCCCCCCGTTCCATTTTCAGGGTTCGTTCCCCCAAGGGGCCGGATGAGGAGCTTGATGGGGTGGATGAGAAATTCTTCCAGGTGTTGGAACAGCTCAACTCCCAGAAGTAGGGTCCTGGGTGTGGGGGGAGGGGGGCATGGGGGGCTGGAGATAGATGGGGAGAAAAGGGTGCGGAGGGGAGAGGGAGCAGGGTCTGGGAGTAAATGCAGAAGAGGGGCTGGGGAATGGGGGTCTGGGGTATTGGGGAAGAGCATGGGGGAAGAAAGAGAGAGGGGTCCCAGGAAGCGGGTGGGATGTAAGTGAAGGTGCCATGGGGGGCAGGACACAGGGTGAGGAATCAGGGCAGGGGCAAGGCAGAGGGGAAGGGTGCAGGGGGGGGAGGCAAGAGAGGAGCAGCGAGGAAGAGGAGGGAGGCAGAGCTGGGGTTGGGCAGTGGGGCCGGGGTACGTGTGTATGGGGGGGGGTCCCAGATCCCGTCCACTCCCTCTCTCCCCCCTGTTTCAGACAGTGGAAGAAGTCGGAGGATTTTAACCGCATCACCCTGTACTTCAAGGAGAAACTCATGGAGAAGGAGGTGAGCTGGGCTCCCCGGTGGGCGAGGGGGCACTGCTGGGGGGAAGCTCGCAGCCCCAGGGCGAGCAGGCACCGACCCCCTGGAATCAGTTCATGGGTCTGACGGCTGACTCGGGACGTTCTGCTGCATGGGGCCCCCTGGTGGACACGGTCCCTCATTGCAGCTCTCTCTGTCTCACCATGTAGTATCGACTCTCCGCTCTGCCTGCCTTCAAGTACTACACGGCCTGCACCTTCCTGGTCTTCCTCTCCAACTTCCTCATCCAGATGCTGGTGGCCCACAAGTGAGGATGAGAGAGGGGTTGGGATCCCCTCCCTCCCCGACCCCAGCTCTGCTGGTACCTCTCAGTCCTGACCCGCAGCCTGGGCTCCCACCACCCCACCACGGCACATGGATTTTATGAGACAACCTGAGTCATGTCCCAGCCCTGAGCCAAGGCTCAGCAGAGTCATAAATCATGCAACTGGTGCTGATGGGGCAGAAACGTCTCCTGAACTCGTCATCCCCTGGGCTTCGCTCCCCGCTCCCCCCTCCACAGCTCTGCCAGTGCCACTCAGTCCCAACCCAGACTCCCTGCCAGCCCAGCCCTGGGCTCCCCCCTCCACAGGTCTGCCGGTGCCCCTCAGTCCTAACCCAGACCCCCTGCCAGTCCAGCCCCGGGCTCCCCTCTCCACAGCTCTGCTGGTGCCCCTCAGTGCCAACCCAGAGTCCCCTGATAGCCAACCCCTGGGCTCCCCCCTCCGCAGCTCTGCTGGTGCCCCTCACTCCTCACCCACAGCCCCCTGATAGTCCAGCCCTGGGCTCCCCCCTCCACAGCTCTGCTGGTGCCCCTCACTCCTCACCCACAGCCCCCTGATAGGACAGCCCTGGGCTCCCCCCTCCACAGCTCTGCTGGTGCCCCTCACTCCTCACCCACAGCCCCCTGATAGGCCAGCCCTGGGCTCCCCCCTCCACAGCTCTGCCGGTGCCCCTCAGTCCCAACCCAGAACCCCCTGATAGGCCAGCCCTGGGCTCCCCTCTCCACAGCTCTGCTGGTGCCCCTCAGTGCCAACCCAGAGTCCCCTGATAGCCAACCCCTGGGCTCCCCCCTCCGCAGCAGTGCCGCCCAGAGGATTCAGGGGGCCTGGGGCAAAGCAATTTCGGGGGCCCCTTCCATAAAAAAAGTTGCAATACTATAGAACACTATATTCTTGTGGGGGGCCCTGTGGGGCCTGGGGCAAATTGCCCCACTTGCCTCCCCCTCTGGGCAGCCCTGCTCTACTGCTCTGCTGGTGCCCCTCAGTCCCAACCCAGACCCCCTGATAGCCCAGCCCTGGGCTCCCCACTCCACATCTCTGCCAGTGCCCCTCACTCCCAACCCGCAGCCCCTCATAGCCCAGCCCTGGGCTCCCCCTACCCCCAGCTCTGCCGGTGCCCCTCAGTCCCAACCCACAGTCCACTGCTATCCCAGCCCGGGGGTCCCTATTATTTCTAATTTGCCTTCTGTTCTCCTCCAGGACCCCAGCTCTAGGAATCTCCTACGGCATCTCCTTCTTCCTCTTCATCCTCCTCCTCTTCATCTGCTTCGCTGGGAACCTGGCGGTAAGTGAGATGGGCAGGTCACTGCTGTGGGGAAGCTCACAGCTCCAGAGTTGCTCTTGTATTTCCCCCCCACCCCCCGAATATGCCCCAGCTAGGGGAAGCTCTTGTCCCTGCAACCCCTGGCTGGGGGCAATCTAACCCTCCCCTCCCCCCACCCGCACTCTGCCATCTGCCTGCTCTCCCAGAAGTGCTTCCAGAAAGGCCCCAAGATGCTGTACTGGGTGCCCTCCCTCTCCACGGCCGTCTGCACCCAGCCCTGGCTCCGGGTCACCCTGGGCGTCACCACCATCCTGGTTGTCCTCACCATGGCGATGTTCAACTTCGTGAGTAATCAAAGGAGGGGGCGTTCTCTTCCCAGCCCTGGGAGGGGAGGGGGGTCTAGTAGAGCAGAGGGGCTGGGCTCCAGGGCTCCTGGGTTCTCTCCCCAGCCCAGGGAGAGGAGGGGGGTCTCGTAGAGCAGAGGGGCTGGGCTCCAGGGCTCCTGGGTTCTATCCCTGGCTCTGGGAGGGGAGTAGGGTCTAGTGCAGGGGCGGGCAAACTTCTTGGCCTGAAGGCTACATCGGGTTTCCAAAATTGTCTGGAGGGCCGGTTAGGGGAGGCTGTGCCTCCCCAAACAGCCAGGCGTGGCCCAGCCCCCACCCCCTATCCTATTCCCCCCTGCTTCTTGCCCCCTGACAGCCCCCCCGGGACTCCTGCCCCATCCAACCCCCCTCTCCTTCTTGACTGCCCTCCTGGGACCCCTGTCCCATCCAACCACCCCTTCTCCCTGACCACCCCCAGAACCCCTGCCCCTGACTGCCCCCCGCCGCCCCATCCACCCCCCCCTCCTTCCTGACTGCCCCCCTGGGACCTCTGCCCCTGTTCCCCGCCCTCTGACTGCCCCGACTCTTATCCACACCCCCGCCTCCTGTCCACCACCCCGAACTCCCCTGCCCTCTATCCAACCCCCCTTGCTCCCTGCCCCCTTACCGCACTGCCTGGAGCACCAGTGGCTCCAGCCATGCCACCGCGCTGCCCACAGCACCAGGACAGGCAGCCGCGCCGCCCGGCTGGAGCCAGCCACGCACCGTGCAGCACAGAGCACCGGGTCAGGCTGGGCTCTGCAGCTGTGCGGCCCCAGGAGCTCACAGCCCCGCCGCCCAGAGCATTGTGGGGGAGGGGGAACAGCAGGGGAGGGGCTGGGGGTAGCCTCCTGGGGCAGGAGCTCAGGGGCCGGGCAGGAGGGTCCCACGGGCTGGATGTGGCCCGTGGGCCATAGTTTTCCCACCTCTGGTCTAGTGGTTAGACTGGGGAGGCTGGGAGCCAGGACTCCTGGGTTCTATCCCCAGCTCTAGGAGGGGAGTGGGGTCTAGTGGTTGGAGCAGAGGGGACTAGGAACCAGGACTCCTGGATTCTATCCCCAGCTGTATCCTTCTTGCTGCTTACGATTACCATCCTCCTCTTTGAGCAGTTCTTCATACCCACGCCCTGGTGTCCTCCACCATCCCATAATCCCACGGTGCCAGTGAATGCCACACGAGAATCTCCCTCGACCGATTCCTTATTCAGCATTCCGGTAAGCTTTACGCACCAGTAGGATGGTGTTGGTGTTGAAGGTGGACTTGGGAAGGTCTTTAACTCACTGCCCCCTTTCTCCCTTGCCCTGCCCCCTTCCCCTATGCCCCGCCCCTTCCCCACATGCCCCTCCCCCTTGCCTCCCCAGTACTACGTTTACTGTTGCATCCTGGGACTCCTCTCCTGCTCACTCTTCCTCCACATGAATTTTGAACTCAAATTCCTGATGCTGACGCTTTGCCTGGTGATCTACAATGTCCTCTTCCTCCGCAGCCACGCCTGGCTCTCCGACTGCTACGTCGGGCGCCTCTACCCCAACCAGACCGTGCTCAGGTAACCGCTGGGGAGGTGCCCCTGCAGCGCCCCCTAGGGACAGCACTGACTGCTGAGCCCCCGCCTGGGTCCTTGCAGCACAGCGCCCCCTAGTGTCGCACTGGGGCCAGCACTGACTGCCAGGGTAGAGCGCCCCCTGCTTAGCCCCTGCCCCAGCAGAACCCAGAAGTCTCCGACTCAAACACAACGCAGTCCTGCTTAGCAGGTCCGAGCTAGGCCCAGGTCTGCTCTCCGCTTAGGGTTACCAGATGCCCAGTTTTCTACCGGAAAGATGTACTGACTGGACACTACAAGTCCGGTTAGCCCTGGCGGGCGGCCGGGAGAGGAGGTGCCAGGTCATCAATCCGTGCCAGCCCCTGCTCAGCCAGGGCCACCTCCTATGTCTTGTGAGCAGGCAGGCAGGCAGGCTCCGCGTCAGACTGCAGCTCCGGAGCAGAGGGAGCCCAGGGAGGGGAGGCAGTGGAGATGATCCAGCTAGGAGGAAGTGGAGGGGAGAGGGGAGCGAGCAGGGAGCAGGGCCTTGGGGGAAGAGACAGAGAAGTGCGCAGGGCCTCGAGGGAAAAAGCTTGCAGGGGCATGGGCGGGGTTTCAAGGAAACACATGGAGGAGGGTCAGGGCCTCGAGGGAAGAGGCGGGGCATGGGGTATTGGTTGTCAACAATTGGAAAGTTGGCAACCCTCTCTCTGCTACCTGGTCTCTCTCCTTCTGTCCGCAGGCCGGGGGTCCTGAAGGAACCCAAGCTGATGGGAGCCGTTTCCTTCTTTGTCTTTTTCTTCACTCTGCTGGCCCTGGCTAGACAAGTGAGTCACAGGGCCCCCTAGGGGTGAGGCACTGCCATCCCAGACACCTGGGTCCTATTCCCCCTCCTAGTTCCTCCCCCTGTGGGGCTGAGAGCTGCAAGGCCCACTGGGGACTTCCCTTGGGGTCCCTTCTCCATCCTAGTCTGTCCTGCTGCGGTGCCCCTGGGGGTGAGCACCTTGTACTGCTATCCAGGACACCTGGGTTCAATATCCCATTCCAGTCTGTTGTGGTGCAAGCCCCCTAGAAGAAAGTGTCCTGCGCTGCTGTCCCGAACACCTGGGTCCCACTCTCTCCCTGGTGCTGGGAGCTGCAGTGCCCCTACAGGTGAGTGCCCTGCACTTCCATCCCAGGGGCCTGGGTCCCGGGTCCCATTCCTTGTCCCAGGCTCTCCCCCCAGGTGCTGGGAGTTGCATGCTATCCTGGATGCCTGGGTCCCATCCCAGTCACTCCTACTGGATGCTGGGAAGTGCAGGGCCCACTAGGGTGAGAACTGCCCCTCTCCATTACTGGGGGGTCCTAATGGGCTGGGCCCCTCTATGTCTCTCTCGAAGAATGAGTATTATTGCCGCCTTGACTTCTTGTGGAAGAAGAAGTTCAAGAAGGAGCGCGAGGAGATCGAGACCATGGAGAACCTGAACCGTGTCCTGCTGGAGAATGTGCTCCCGGCCGACGTGGCGCAGCAATTCATCGGCCAGAACCGGCGTAACGAGGTCAGCCCAGCTGCGTGCCTCCCCTTTAACAGGGGAATTTCTGACTGCCGCCATTCAACTCTCCAATGCTGCCACCCGGTGGCCAAGCTGGGGACTGCAGCCAGAAGGAAGTGGGCTAATGATTCATAGAATTTCCCTGAGTTTAAGGCCAGAAGGGACTGTTAGGTTAGCTAGTCTGACTTCCCGTGGAGCACAAGCCATGGATCTTCACCCAAGTACCCCTGTACTGAGCCCAGCTTGGGTTAGACCAAAGCGTTTCAGTCCTTGGGAGGCTAAACTGTTGTGACCACTGGAGAGATTGAGGTGCTGCTGATGCCCAAGGACCCGGCAACGCCAGGAATTTATTGGGTGACACGAGCCCAGGTGATTCCAGCAGGCGTCCCACACCCCATGCCTCAGAGGAAGGTGGAAACTCGCCCCAGATCCTTGCCAATCTGACCTGGGGGAGGTTCCTTCCCCACCACAAATCTGATGACCCAGAGCATGTGCTCCAGACTGACCAGCCAGGCATCTAGACGGAGGGTTCTCTGAACCACCTCAGAGCCCTGGTCCACCCCATCCAATGTCCCATCTCCAGCTGTGGCCAATCCCTGATACTTCAGAGGAAGGTGAAAAAATACCATGGAATGCATCTGGCCAATTATGCATTGAGGGGGAAAAGAATCGGTGACCTCTGCATTCCCCATCCTGGTCCCGTCTCGCTGGGGCTGAGAGCTGTGGGTCCCATAGGGATGTCAGTGTGGATGTCTGGGTCCCATTCTCCATCCCACTCCCCCTGTGGGGCTGAGAGCTGCAGGACCCATGGAGATGTCATTGTGGATGTCTGGGTCCCATTCTCCATCCCACTCCCCCTGTGGGGCTGAGAGCTGCGGGACCCATGGGGATGTTGTCCCGCAGATCATGGGTCCCATTCCCCATGCTACTCCCTCACCTGTGGTGCTGAGAACAGCAGGGCCCCTAGGAGAACTCTCCTGGATGCCTGGGTCTCATTCTTGAGATCCTGACATGGCGTGTGTCCATATAAGTTTACTAAGATTGCCAACATATGGACACTCAGTTCCCATTGAAATCATTGGGATTTAGGACCGTAGGACTGGAAAAGGCCTCCTGGGTCACCAAATGTGGGTCCTGTTACCTCAGATAGCCCTGTCTTCTCTATCGAGCACCATCCTCACTCTACTATAGGGTTTTCCCACCGCCACCACTCCTATTAGAGGCTGTTCCAGAACTTCCTTTGTCTGATGGTCAGAAACCTTCTTACCTTCTCCAGCCTCAGTTGCTCCCTGGTTAGTTTATCCCATTTGTTCTCGTGCCAGCATTGTCCTCTAGTTTCATGAGCTCTTCCCTGTCCCTGGTGTTTCCCCCGATGTATTTACAGAGAGCAGTCAGCCTGTGGTTTCAAGCTAAATAAGCCCAGCTCTTTTTCCTCTTGTCAGACTGGCTCTCCATTCCCCCAATCATCCTTGCAGCCCTTCTTTGCATCTGGTCTAACTTGAATGAGTTTGAGCTACCGAATCACATTGGCTGGTTTGAGCATCTCAACAGCTGCTGTTGAATTGCTCTTGTGGGGTCTGTGTGTGATGGTGTAGTGGAATCTTTTTGGTGTGATGTTGTGGAATGGGGAAGTGGTTGGGTTCGGTGGATTGTAATATTGATTGTGTTGGGTTTTGTTACATGCAAGGTGATGGATGGGTTCAGGAGGATGTGGTGGTTGGGATAAATCATGGTGGTCTGATGGGGTTTTGCTTTGGGTTGTGGTGTAGCTGGGGCTGGTTGGTTGGTGGTTGGGTTTAGTGATGGGTGGGTTGTCTGGGTTTGGGGGGTAGTGTTGGTTGGGGGCTGGTTGGATTTCACTGACTGTGTTGGTTGGCTTCAGTGCACTGTGTTAGTTGGTTGTGATGGTAGGTGTGTTCGCTGGAGCTGGTTCGCTGGAGTGGGCTCTGCTGGCTGACTGGGGTGGGCTGTGTTTGGGTTAGTTAGATGGGTTTCATGACTGCTATGTTGGTTGAAAATGTTTAGGTTTGGTTGGCTACG